TTAAATATTGACGTGCGGTTTTATTGCATAACAGATATTCAAATTCTATTTATTTTCATAATGAAATAAAAGCCAACAATTATTGTACTGTTCATTTTAATTTTAATTTTGATTGAATTCTCATCCCAAGTCTACAGCTGATGTTTTTATTTGTGTTGTTGTTGGTAGACATGAGGGAAAACATTTCCACTGCCACTAATGATGCCACTTAATAACTTCTGTGACTTTTATAAATACGATTTTTATAAATTCTACCGTGTTTTAGACACATATGAATAATGTTTCTGGATGGAACTGTGATAATAAATATGAGATAGAGTGTGTACTATATATATATATATATATATATACTGTATATATATAGTGTATATATATATATATATATATATATATATATATATATATATATATATATATATATATATATATACAGTACAGCTGTTACACCAGACACAGAGCGTCAAGAGAAAAACATGAACACATTTTACTGGCTCCAGTGAGTGGTGATTCTGCTTGAGAGGAAACACCGTCGACCTCAAATATCTCTCAACTGGACCACACTCAATGCACAATATTCCACAACGCTGAGGAATAAGAAAACACCCGAGACACAGACAGTGAAGCGGAGAAAAATATGCCTTGGTCATCACCACCAGTGTGGGAGACAAGTGTCCGTCAGTACACCTGCGCTAGATGATATTACCGAGGCTAGCGATCATTGACCTACACTACACTACACAGCAGCTCTAGTTTGTGGATGTACATAAGAGGTATACACAGTAGCTCCTGGCCTTCTGACAACGTACTGTACGCATCTACAAACAGAGGGAGTTGAGCTAACACCACAGACGTGAGGTACAAAACACACACACATTCGTCTTTGGAATCATCATGGAGCTGTCACTGGGGCAGCTCTCACCAGTAACCCTCTCCTGCCTTTTACCAACACCGCCAGAAACACCCCGGCCGACCATGCATATTTCAGGAGTTTTATGCATATAAACGCGCACATCCATATAGCACCCACGATGCTTTCAAAGACGAATGGACACCTGATGCTGAACCCCATATAGCACCCACGATGCTTTCAAAGACGAATGGACACCTGATGCTGAACCCAATAGTCGAGTGTTGTACCTTTAGTACTAGTGGCGGTGCTTCTGACTCACACGTCACTTGAAATAAACATATTAATTAATCACATGAATAACTAAAATGAAGAAGTGTTTGAAGAAAAATGTGAGCACGTTGGGTGACAGAGCCAGAGGTGGTGCAATACTGTAGTCAACAACGGCCTTAATCGTTACAGTAATTACATCGAATTCAATACATTATGGATATGTTGCAGCTACAATTAAATAACCTTGCTGTATAATTTACTCGTAATTACTGAATTTATATAATAAGATAACTACACTGTACTCTGATAATTACTGAATGATTTCAACACGAAATTCAGAATTAAAAGACAGAATGGTTACGTTCAACAAACTCAATCAATCTTATAGATTTTTTATAATAAACGCATTACTTATTAGAAGTTCTGCCACGAGATTTGGTGAAAAATTCTCAATATAAGAATAATTAATCATGGAAAGGTTATATATATATATATATATATATATATATATATATATATATATATATATATATATATATATATATATATATATATATATATATATATATATATATATATATATATATATATATATATATAAGCAGCACTCCACCCCAGGTCAGGTGAACAATAAGCACAGGACAAAGTCGACATAAACACATTGTACACAACGATCATTGCTATTCATGTGGTCACTCAGCCACCGTATATAAATATACTGTATAACTACCGTGTTGTTATGTTTTACACCAGCATCACACGCGGTGTGTAGGAGATTATTATTATTATTATTATTATCATCATATATATATATATACTATATACTAAAAGCTTTTCCCCGGCTTGAGTATTATCAGAGTTTATAAAGGACTTAAAACAATACAATGGACCAACACATACTGTAAGTCTGGTGTTACAGCTGACTGTGTTGTGGCTCTTAACTCGTGTAGTCTCTCTGCATCCTTTATTTTACATCTTATTTAATTTTCATTCATATTTAAAAAAAAACCCACTTAGTACAAAATAATGCGGCCCAAAGTAGTAGACTTCATTAAGCTCCCTGTACAGAGTTAACCATGTGGCGGACGCTTCTGTGTACAGTTACAGTACAGTATACTACTTACTCCTGCAGCCGTCACCCACCAGCCTCTGTCTGATACAGAAACAAAACAACATTTAAGAAAAAGGTCTTGTAACTGATGGCTTCACCTCACCTCTTTTGAATGAGTATCTCCCGGTCATTACTATTACTCAACGATGATCTCAACGAGTGACGTGCAGATAAAACTTTGTCGAAATAATTTTTTTGTTCATTTTATATTAATTTTTGTGTATATTAGGTTAGGTTAGGTTAGGTTAGGTTATACAACGCCGATAAAACTCTCACATTTTTTTTTCATTTTTTTCTTTCATTTTATAATATTTTGTGTTTCTTTATCCAGCTGAAATATTGTGGGTTATGTGAGAGAGAATCATCCACTTTAAGTTAAAAGGTAAACATTCCTTACACCACCTGACCATACCAGTACTGTACAGGAGCCCAGTCACAGGGCCTCCTTCTGTGACGTCAGTAGAGGTGAACACTGACATACAGATAACAACACTTATGGTACTTTTTATGTGGCAAGTGGATACGTTTGATTGCTGAGAGAACTTGAAGACTTAACTGACTGACTTGACTAATTGATTGACTGACTGACTGACTGACTGACTTGATTGATTGACTGACTGACTGATGAAAATTTCCCGTCGGAACCACTACCCGTCTGCACTATGAATGACGTCATATAATGGTGGTTGGTCTATTGGTCCCCCTATGTTCTACCGGGCCCCGACTTAACCTAACCAAGGAAAAGATATAATGTACACGAAGTATAGGCTATTAGGTCCCGGCGTTATTTACAGGTGCGTCTGATCTGTCATAAGGACCTTCGCCTCCCCTTTAAGCTCTGACGTGATGTGCTGCTGTCTGTCTATCTGTCTATCTATTTATCTATCTATCTATCTATCTATCTGTCTATCTATCTATCTATCTATCTATCTATCTATCTACCTATCTGTGTGTTTATCTTCTTCCTTTCAGGAAATAGGTGACCTTGAACGCTCGGCAGAGAGAGAGAGAGAGAGAGAGAGAGAGAGAGAGAGAGAGAGAGAGAGATCATTTCTCCTGTGAGGTCCGTTACTGTGTGTTTCTGAACCAACATAACTCACCTCAAACAATAGCTGTTGAGGTCTCGGACGGTCAAGTATATCTACGACCTACTAACTTCCTCCGAGCCAGAACGCGGAACCTTAACCTAACCTAACCTAAACCTGACCCTAACCTAACCTAACCTAAACCTAACCCTAACCTAACCTAACCTAAACCTAACCCTAACCTAACCTAACCTAAACCTAAACGTAACATAACATAACATAACCCGGGGCTATAGCAAGAAAAGTTCAGGTCCGGTTCGTAGTCCGGGTTCGGGGATATAAGTTGGGCCCAATAAATCTCTGTTAACTCGTGTCTGGCTGGTGATCACAGCTGCGTCTCGAGTTCATACAAGTTTGAGATGAAATTTCAGAGAAGCAGAGGAGTGAAAGACCTCCTTCAAGATGAGGAGGAAGATGGATGCTGGTGTGGGTGAAGGAGGAGGATGGATGCTGGTGTGGGTGAAGGAGGATGATGGATGTGGGTGAAGGAGGAAGAGGGATGCTGGTGTGGGTGAAGGAGGAGGATGAATGTGGGTGAAGGAGGAAGAGGGATGTGGGTGAAGGAGGAAGAGGGATGCTGGTGTGGGTGAAGGAGGATGGATGCTGGTGTGTGAAGGAGGAGGATGGATGCTGGTGTGGGTGAAGGAGGATGGATGCTGGTGTGGGTGAAGGAGGAGGATGGATGCTGGTGTGGGTGAAGGAGGAGGATGGATGGGTGAAGGAGGAGATGGATAAGAAGGAGGAAGATGGATGCTGGTGTGGGGTGAAGGAGGAGGATGGATGCTGGTGTGGTGAAGGGAGGAGGATGGATGCTGGGTGTGGGTGTGATGGGATGGGTGTGGGTGATGGAGGAGGAGGATGGATGCTGGTGTGGGTGAAGGAGGATGATGGATGTGGGTGAAGGAGGAAGAGGGATGCTGGTGTGGGTGAAGGAGGAGGATGAATGTGGGTGAAGGAGGAAGAGGGATGTGGGTGAAGGAGGAAGAGGGATGCTGGTGTGGGTGAAGGAGGAGGGATGTGGGTGAAGGAGGAGGATGGATGTGGGTGTGGGTGTAGGAGGAGGATGGATGTGGGTGTGGGTGTAGGAGGAGGAGGGAAGCTTTGTGAAAGATGATTAGAATGAGATGAAAGAGAGGAAGAAGAGAAGAATTGTGAGTAAATTCACTATTAACGTCTCCTGTACACACACACACACACACACACACACACACAGAATTGTTAAGTGCTGTTGACTCCCAAATCAACTACTTAATAATGCAGGTCTGGTTATAAGCAACAATTACCTTTGGGTACAGGTAATGCTAACACAAATCCCTTTAACCCGGTAATTGATATGAAAGCAAATTAACGAGGAAAATATTAAATTATGTTAACATATTCTCATTTTAGGAGATTAAATGGTGAATCGCAGCATAAAGTATTCTCATTCATAGTTAGTTGCACGAGATGGTTCATTATTGACTGTGGTGATAATTGCTGTCCAATTTACCGTTGTGCTGTTATTCCGTCTACTATAGGCTGTCGGTGTCGTCTATTACCTGTTGTCTCTTCCTCTGTATAATCTTCTTCATAGTGACGTCATGTATTGGTGAGAATATTGCTGGTGTCTTCCTGTACCGTGATGACTCAGGCCAGTAACATGACAACACCATCACCGTGACATAAAGATGAATCAAACAAAACATCACTTTCAAAGAACGTTTATTCATATTACATAGACAGACAGACAGACAGACAGACAGACAGACAGACAGACAGACAGACAGACATATGAACTGAACAAGGTCATATGTGGTCAATGCATTATACTGTAACACAACCATTATGATGGAGTTCCAGTTCTAATTGACCCCAGCCGTAATGATTTCAAATTCTAGTGATTATTATGTTCATTTAGGGCCTATTAGGACTGGGGTCCGTTTGATGTAGCAGCCATTCTCAGCACCACACAACACCCATATACAACACATTGAGAGCCGTGATAACTGTTATATATTAATAGTCTTACTGAAAAGCTCCACGTAACAGTCACAAGGTTACAAAAAAGATAATTACATAAAAGTTAATACTAATTGACAATTATCCCTATTTAGTGTAACACGCGCGCACACACACACACACACACACACACACACACACACACACACAGAGTGAATTAATAACAAGGCTTCACCGTGAACACTGTATAGGAAGAGGGTGTGAGGCAGGTCGTGTAAATATTTCTTCACACTCTCTGGTCTTCTACTAAAACTATCTACATTCTCCTACATCATTCTCTCTTTTGTTTCTCTATCCCTTGACCCATTCAATACAAACGTGAAAGATCAATTATGAATTTAATACAAACAGACATTTCAGAGTTTTGTTGACAATTGGAGATGACATTAAGATGTGAACACACCTACAGTACACTTTCAACAGCTACAACTTGTGCATAATATATGATTAATAAACATTTTTCACTGACAACATGGAAGGTAAACTGCTTCCGAAGCCACAAATACACATTCACTGTCCACATTTGTTTGCGTCACATCTTCGTTACCTAACTGGGATGGTTGCAGGTCAGATGAGGCCCAGTCCTAATTGGCACCAATCTTATTTTGCCATAATTTAACCTAACTTAACCTTACCATGGTGTAATGGGCCCCGGTGACCGGAGCCCATTACAGCATGCTCCTAAACCTGTTGATAAGATTGTGGTAAGACTGGGGCCTATTACAACTCGAACCTATTTGACCATCAAATGTAATATTAAAAGAACATCCCAACATTGCTAAGGGCTCAGCATGGACACTTGTTCCTCTCTATTGTCACAAAGATAATAAGTTAAATGATTACTTTCTTATATAACACTATGGACGAGTTCAAGTATGACGCAATATTTCAAAGGCTTGTTTATAACATGGGGCGAACAGGGGAATGTTTACCCATGACTAGTGAAGACAGCCTGGACAATATGACGAAGCTTTGATAAACACAAGAGCACCGTGAGGGAGGACAAACACACGTACTGTATGTTTAAAGCTACTGAGTTAAACGGGGAACTGAACCTGCTGACGAAGACAACGACGATAGTTGGGTGGATGTTGGGTGGTGAAGACAATAACTCTTGCTTATATTGAAACAGATGAGGTAAATATATAGGCCCATTCAGAAAGATAATCATAATAGGCTTGAAAAATACAGACACGCTGTAACACACGTTTCCATGTTTATGTTTCCTCGTAGAGAAACATTCTTTAAACGAGAATCTTCTAAGACTATCAAACTATGCTGGCACATATTACCTGTAATCACGATGAAGCAATTTTACCTGGCTTTGTTAATCATCGTAATTGTCAATGTGAATTACTGACGTCTCCATCTGGTTAGGTAAGGTTAGGTTTTAGGTTAGATTAGGTTCCTGGTCCGGGACTATCAGGTGCGGTCGTGTGGAAAGTTTGTGTACTCAACCACATGACCCACCAAGTTAGGTTGTGTTGAGGCTTGGCTAACTACAGCCTATTACTGTAGAATTGGGGCCCATTTGACCTGCCATCATGATAAGCTCTTAATAAAGGTGTTGTGCTCTAGATATGAATTAGGAAGAGTGTGAGGGAGGTGACGACGACTGAGGTGTAGGAACCAGGGAAGTGTGACCTCGCTCCGCTCTCCGACGACAACACCGCCATGGCTGAAACGAAATAGATAGATAAATCAGGTTTGCTGTACTTTATGTTATTCAGACTCAAGTGTACTGTACTGTACTGTATTTACCTCTCTTGGTGGAGAAGGCGAAGTGTGGAGACTCAGCCGACCAGCCATACTTGTTCCTGACCCTGATGACGGCCACGTAGTCCGTCGCCACCTCCAGCCCCGTTATGGTGAACGTCATGAAATATGGTGAACCCTTTTTCACGGTCTTTGTCGCCACCTTCCTGGACACGTTCTCCCATGACCCAGCCATCACTATGGTGCGGTTGGTGGCCTGTCCGGGGATGAGAACGCTGCTATTAGCCTGTGTGAGCTAATTAACACTTATGGGTGCAAATGATTATACAAGGGAGAAACTTTCTACACTGCTTGACCAACGCCTTGTGGCTGTCAACTAGAGGAGACCTGTGGTGGGTTACGTCTGGCACTGAAGAAACACATTTTCATGAACACTAGGAAACATGAGCCAATGGCCGACACGTGGATACAGAGAATTGGTTCTGTTATATATTATTAAACAACAATAAATTGGGAATCCAGTTAATTAATAGTTTAAGAAGCTCGACCAGTGGAAGACTTAGCTATTCTCCCTCCCTCCCCCCTAAAGAAAGTCTTTGTCAGTTATATTTCATCCTGAGCCTTACTTGAGTCTGGCTCAAGTTTTCACGTAATATACATATTAAGGGATCAGGATTGCTAGCAAGCTGAAGCTTATAGCTGGCAGACAGCTGCAGTAAAATCCTTTAATAAATTTAAATGTCCAATGGGTTAGCCTTTAAGGTGAGCTTAGGCAAGAGAACAGATTTTTGTTCATAAAATATTAATAGAAAGTGCCCATTGTACCCTTGTGAGCCACGTTATAATGTAAGCTGGAGATGTTCACTACTGTCCCTCACAGGTCACACACACTTACAGTTCTCCTATTCCCTGTGAGGATGACCTCTAGTGCAAGTGCCTCGGTTGGTGGTGGTCACACACTCAGAGTAACACATAGACTGAGGGAGAGATGGAAGGACCAGAGACACAGTCACTCACGTGCCAGGCGCCCAAGTGTGTCTTGCGGTACTTAATGAGAAACTCAGTGATGGGGTAGTAGCTCTCTGTCTGCCAGGTGAAGGAGTACCTGGTCCTCTCCCCCCCGCTGGGGCTACTCGTCACCTTAGGCGTTTCGGGGAGGCCTGTTGGGGAGATAACAATGTAAAATTTGTCATGGGAGGCCTGGTGGGGAGAGTGACAGGTTAGGTCATGGTTAAACACACACCTGTCATATGTATAAGGGCGTGCCTCTGACCGTGGGTGTTCCAGGCGGTACAAACATACGCCCCGAAATCCTTCTCTGACACATTGTTGATAGTGAGGGCGTGGCGGTGGGCGGCGCGGCTGAGGCTCATGTGGATGTTGTTGGAGCTGTTGTGGTGTCTTGGTAGATGTAGGCGGGTGTCCATGTTGGCGTCCGGGACTGGCACTCCATCCCTCGTCCACGTCACGTCAGGGGAAGGTCGTCCACGTACCTGGCACACTAACTCTACGTTGTCTCCTTTACCAGTCCTCACGACGGCCTGTGGAAGTACGTGGTCACTGGTCTGATGGGCCCCACTTTTGAGAGACCCCAGTACTATAGGCCCCAGCTCTAAGAGGCCTCAATACTAATAGGCCCCAGTCCTAAGAGGCCCAACAATAATTGGCCCAAGTCCTAACACCGTCCGGTTTGTCCTAACTCTTAGAACTGGGACCCGTCCTAATGGGGGCCATTCAAGATAACGTTGAGCTGACAATAGGCATCAAACTATTAATCAGATGAAGACTTGTGTGTAAACTGTGAGATTTAACTGACCTTCTCCGTGGTGATCTCCGGCGGGTACTCCACGATGATGGTCATGGCGGCTGAGGCGGGCTGTCCGATGCCGTTGTGAGCTGTACAGAGATAAGTTCCCTCCACGTGATGGTCAACACCCTTCAGTGTCAGACTCTTGCCCTGTGGTAAAATAGTGTGTCTCAGTGTTTTCTAATATGTGTTCAAAACATTAAAATACTGAGGAGTGATATAGTACTTTGAGGGCAGCTTCCTCCAGTGCGTGATGCTAGACCGTGTTGTTGGTCGGGGGACACATATGATGGCTCAGCTGTGTGGTGATGAAACACTTTACTAAGATAAACCCATAAATATTCTCTAAAGAAAGCATACAGTTGATATACTTTAATACAACTCCTCGCTTGGCAGGTCTCTTATAGCCATGTACGGTAATTAATTGGTGGAAACATATAAACGGCAGAGAAGATATGACACATTCTATCGTCTATATAAATGAAGTAAAATAATGTAAAAGATGTACTGTATAATGTTCAAGAAATGAGTTTATAAAAAAAATTAAAAATTACCTAACAAAAATATATGTACAAGGTGCGTTGCTGACTTGGTGAAGACAGGAGTGAGGAGGATCATATGGTGGTCCAGGGAGAGGCAGACTGTACTGTACTGGTATGAGCGAGGGAGTGGGCTGTCCAGGGAGTATTACAGCTGTCAGTGAAGGCAAGTAAATGGAGAGTTGTTTTGGCTGATGGTTCCTGTCATAGCGGGAAAAGCTTTGCCACGATATATATTGCCAATCTCGGGAATTGTTTACCTTCTCACGGCTTACCAGTAGCTAAGACCTACCTGCCCCTCTTTAAAGTCTAAGTCTTTTCCAGTATAAAACTCTGATTATTGGATCTTTTCTGTATTTTCCTATAAAAGGCCTGACCTCCATTATGGCATCTGTCCCTCATTAGGGAAAAAAATGAAATGAAGACTGTGTGTGTGTGTGTGTGTGTGTGTGTGTGTGTGTGTGTGTGTGTGTGTGTGTGTGTGTGTGTGTGTGTGTGTGTGTGTGTGTGTGTGTGTGTGTGTGTGTGTACGAGACCAATGGTATGTCACTTGCCTGTTCAGTAGGGAGGCCTGAGGGGAGAGGACCTTCCTGACGGGACCAGGTGATGATGGGCTCTGGGTTGCCCTGTGCCTTACACTGCAGGATCACGGTGGTGTCCTTGGCCACCTGCTGCTCTGGGGGTGCCAGGGCTCTGATGGTGGGCGCGAACTGTACGTCGAGGGTGTGTGTGAGCTGGATGGGCGGGTCCATCTCGAACATACAGAGGAAGGTGCCAGCGTCGCGGGGGCGGGCGTGGGAGATGGTGAGGCGCGAGCCGTCCACACTGAAGCGACGGTCTCTGGTGACTCTTTCATTACCAACAGCCAACAGCTTCTCCCTCCCACCGCTGGCTGGAAGCTTCTTGAAGATCAGCTTGCTGGTCACTGAGAGAATCCAGGTCCACATGAAGCAATGTTTACACACACACACACACACACACACAGCACACAAAATCGTCCTACGGTGTTACTTCATCGTCCCCAGGGTTGTCATCGTCCTCTAAGCCACCGTCCTCAATCACGTCCCTCAAGGGGGCTCACGTCCCAAGGCTTGTCATCGTCCTCAAGGGGGGTTGTCCTCAAGGGGCAGCCATCGTCCCTGGCAAGGTCACTGTCCCCTAGGGCTGGGTAAAGGTCACAGTATTGTTGGGTCTGGACGAGTGTTGACAGTCCGGGTTCTGTAAGTGGATATTGCTTGACCAACCAGCCCAGTGTGTTGTTGTTGAGGCCTCTCTCTCTCTCTCTCTCTTACCTACATTCTCCACGTCACAAGGGATGGTGACAGACTGGCCCGCCTCTACCGTGAAGGACTGAGGTTGAGACAGGAAGATAGGCAGGTCTCCTTCCTCACTCTTATCGTAGTCAAAATAATAGTTGTGGTCCTCGAAGTTGTTGTTGTTGTTGTAGTAGTAGTTGTTGTAGTGGTCACTGTAGCCGTTGGACAGACCTGTAGATGATATAGTAGTAGTAGTAGTAGTAGTAGTAGTAGTAGTCGTTCCTAATGGGTTTAATCCTCGTAGCTCGTAATCCTTCTCGTGTTTACAGTGAGATAAACGAAGTCAAATCTTTTTCCTAATTAGTAAAAGCTGTTGTCTAATGTGTTTAAATACCTTGGTTGTTGAAACACTTTGATATATTACTACAAGACACGAAAACACCTGATACGTTGATATTTATTAGAGGACATGAAGATTAGCCCCCCTCAGTTTATTTCACCTTATTATTCACCCTAATGCTAACCTAACCTAACCTAACCTAACCTAACATGAAATATAACCTAATCTAATCTAACTCTCCCAGGTAATGTATGTATGTATGTATGTATGTATGTATGTATGTATGTATGTATGTATTTCGGCCACGTTACTGGAGAACGGAAAGAGGAACAGTATTCATAATTAATTACGTGCTCATTAGGCCAATCCCTACAGGTACAGGCAGGTATAAGTCACTCGAGTCAGCAAATAAGTCAACAGGTAGAGGGAGTTATTGTGTTCATATGTATTATTATTATTATTATTATTATATTAATTATAATATATTTAGATCGAATTTATACTGTATATGTTTTAAGTTTAATTACTAGAGTGAAAAACCTATGAGAGAGAGAGAGATCATACCAAACACTGCTCATCGCTTGTTTCTAAATAACTTTCCAGATTAATTGCTTTTTTTTTTTGCTAAGTAATTAAAAACTCATTATCTTTGACACTGAGGAAAAAATAATTAAACTGGAACGCCTCTACACTTGGTATATATACTGTGCAGTGTTGGTTACCTTAGCTACCTCTCCCCCGTGTATAATATATAGGGAGAGGGGAAGGCAGGAGAGTGTGTTAAGCTGTGTTAGTGAGGCCTTCTCTCCAGCCGGTAAGTAGATTATCTAAAATAATTGTATCTTGATAATTGTTTGGATAATAAGGATATTTTCTCGTTAATTCCGAAGATGAAAAAAAGAATGGATTATTAAAGCTGTCCAAGTTCTTCTGTGTCCTAACCTAACCTAACCTATTAGGACTGGCGGCCCGGTTCTACATGTAACCAACAATATTTAAAATAAATAAATAAATAAAAACAGTGAGGGCTGTAACTCAGATAAACATGGATTCTTGTACAGTTTTTCAGTGAAGGGTTTTCATAATGTTATGTTCACCGCCATGAAGGAATTGTGAACATTAAAGTGGAACTCAAATGAACCTGGATAATATCTGACTTTTTTTTGTAGAGGAAGGATTTAACCATTAAGGCTCTAAATAATTCTACACCATGACGCGTGTTTAGCATATCTGGGAGCCTGGCTAAAAAATCTACATAATTGAATATATGAGACAAAATATACCTGTGGTGAATTATTAATGTATTTAAATGGTTAATAATTAATTGTGATTAATATACGTGTCTGTAAAACACTTATGTATTTATTTAGACACTCGCTTATTGTACTAGGGGATGATAGTAACTCTGTAACAACAGGTCGCAGGTAACAAGGAATCATACTGTAATCTACAAGTAACAAGGAACACACTACTATAATTATCTACTGACCTAACGTAACGTAACCTCATCCCCCAAATAGTGCTAGGGTGGCTAATCTTCAGGTGACCCCACGAAGATGTCATATAGTACAGTATATTGCCTTGTATTACTGCATTCATTGTTTCACTATTTACTAACACCATTTAAAGTTACCATTAGATTTGAGGGTTCCGTATTTAAGGGGTTCTGAGGTCATCATTATCACCCTGCCATGACCTAATGATGGAAGGATTTAGGTGATAAGGGTCAAACTATCCACTTGTTTATCTAAGGGTCTGTACAGCTACACGGCGACACCTCCAGGTAAAAAATAATGTAATGTAAAACTAGAATATTTCATTTCGTGGATCTTATACATTTTGGAGCGGTACTGAAATATATAATGGAGGGCTGCCAAGCGGGATAAATCGGTGCAATTTTAAGGTTTTCGAATTTCTTAGAAGGCGCCTTTATCTTCCTGATGTTGTGCTGTCTTAACCTGTGTGTGTGTGTGTGTGTTGTGTGTGTGTGTGTGTGTGTGTGTGTGTGTGTGTGTGTGTGTGTGTGTCGTTTTGACTTACCGTGTGGGGTCAGCAGCAGGAGAGCGAGGTAGAGGAGTGTGTCCATGTTGAGGTGTTCCCCCGTCAGGTGGTTGACACTCTAGCGTGGTCCTTGAGTCTCACGTCCTCTTTCACCGTATCACATACACGTCCGTCGTCACTGAGTTATAACTTGTTCATTCACCTCTTTCTGTATCCAGTTGCCTTGTGTTCACTGTTTGTTGCCGTGGGGACAGTAATGACTCAGAGTATGTTAGTCATCAGTGATCTTTGGTGGAACATAACTCACCGCCTTACTGAAATTACCTTTGGAATTATTAATAGGTCTTTATTTGTCTCATTATTATTTACGTAACAAAAGAAAAATAAATTAAATAATGTGGAGAAACGCCATTCCTGCCGTCATCTTTCTTCATGGTAGACGACGCCCTACTAATTGCTTTAAGACCCTGACCATTTGACAGAGACAGAACACAGGTCAGCCATTACTCGGACACACAACAACTTTTAATCACCCTTCATACACAAACTGCCCTCGTTAATGTCCCGTGAAACACACACAGTCATCCTATTAAGCCTGAAACGCAAATTATGTTTTTGCCCAATAAGAATAACTTTTTGTTTTTAATGCTCCACCTTAATGGCTAGATTAGTTGGGTTTAGTTACTGATGCTGCACGTTTTGTATGATGGTTGTCTGTATGATTGTCCCTATAAACAGATCTATTTAAATTTTCGAAAACTAAAGAAAAATATTGGAATTATAGCTATTTTGCAAGTACCTCTATTTACTGTGTGTGTGTGTGTGTGTGTGTGTGTGTGTGTGTGTGTGTGTGTGTGTGTGTGTGTGTGTGTGTGTGTGCGCAGTTTGTAGTTCCTACATTATCTCTTGTACTGTACGTGTAAATATCATAATGGTGCGGTGGACGAGTGGATTCAACTCTCGCTTACTGTTCTAAGGTTCTCAGTTTCGATCCCAGGACATACCCAGACTACCCAGCTGGACTGTAAATGGGAAGTGAGGGCCTTAAAGCGCTCTGCAGGCCGTATAGGAGCATAAAACGAACACAAGAAACAAACTGCTTCGTCGAATTATGAATGCTGAAGAACGTTTACAAATCAACCTTAACATTCATGGTAAAGTTAATCATTGAATGTTACGAAGAGCTAGAATGTGTAACTGAAGACGGCCATTTTGAACATTCATTGTAAACTATGCAATTAAACTCTGTAGCTCACAATAAAACATTCTAAGCACTCGGAAATTACTCCTATAACTTCCACTGCTGATAATTCTGTAACCGTTGATAATTCGGATCCATGTTCAGGGATTATTTATGGCTGGAAATGACCTCGTTCACTGTGTATTGTTGAGCTTCAGTAACTATAAAGGTCTTTAAGGGCTTAACACCATTGGTAATTACACTAGTTCATCAACCATTAATAATCATGAGACACACACCCCCCACCCCATACTCCTCTCCCTCACCCGACACTCCCTCACCCCGACACACCCTCACCCCGACACTCCCTCACCCCGACACCCCCTCCTCCCAGTCTTGAGTTCCTGGTGTGTGTGTGTTGGTTAGGTTAGGTTAGGTTAGGTTAGATTAGGTTAACAAAGTACTTGGTATTTATTGCTTGGCAGAACACAGTATAGGTGTATCGATAGTACAGTATTACACAAGGAAATAATACATCATTTTATACTGTGCTCCAATAAATTACAACTGTTAAAATTGTTGGCCATTAGTTGGACGACTGAATAATACACACGCTTTTATAAACATATTTCATAGTTGCAAGAGAATTAAGTGCATTAGCGTTTTGTGATTAATGACTAACAGATTACGTGTCTGATGTTGTATTATTCATGACAAAAATTATAACACTTGTCGACAAAGGGTTGCAGTATTTATTTCCCTCAGTAACAGCTCATTTGTATTGACTGCTGGAGTGAACGTATCCATTATTGATGGTGTTCTTCAGAGCGCACCCGGCGTTCTCTCTCAACACAGCCGATAGTTCCTGTGTTATTTTGTTCACGTGGACACTGTAGGGCGGTGGCTGTGTGTCTGTTAGGGTATATGGCGGTAGTGTAAGTGGAGGACAGAAGAGTATAAGTCAACCTTGATAATTATGTTGCTGTCGACACTTATATTTAGGAAAGTTTGTTATATAAGATCAGTGTTGTTGTTGTTATGGTATTATTGTTCTTTGTTCTTTTCGTTAAACTTTGGTTATAAATTATAGTACAGTACAGCGTTAAAATCTTCGTACAATGGTTCAGCGATTACATCTTCTGTCTCTAGCTTTACTATCACTAATAATAACGGCATCTGACATCAAGAATATTACTAACGTGACAGTCTACCTATATGGGATAAGTTTATGACTGTTTACTGTGACACCAGAAGTACTTGTTCATATACACCACCTTCCTTGTGCCTTCCCTCATCAATATCACTCTACAAAATGACTAAGTTGTGCTAATGAACTCTGCAGTACACACACACACACACACACACACACGCACACACACACACACACACACACACACACACACACACACACACACACACACACACACACACACACACACACACACACACACACTCACACACACACACACACACACACACACACACACACACACACACACACACACACACACACTTATACAATAGAAGGCTTAATATATCCAAATAAGTGTCTGTAATTTTCTAACAACTCTTGATTATTTGTTTATTTGTTTTACTTTTGTTTCAGGTAGTTTGATTACTGACGTCACTCTTACGATCAATAAATATTATAATACCCAATAATTAGTTTCTATTTTTCTTTTCATTAGTCTTCTGTTTCAGTTTGTTTCTTCTCGTCTGTTTCATCTATTTATCGTTGCACTCTTTCATTTATTTTCAGCACCTGTTTCATATAATTCTCAATGTTTCGTTTACTTGTTTCCTATCGAGTTTCTTCATCATCTGTTTCATTAAGTGTTCTTATACCTGTGTTACATTTGTTATTGAGTCGCGTTAACACGGAGCTGTGACACGGGCCAGACCCCATCACCACACGTCCGCACCTCACCACAGCTATACTGCTACTGACACCCACCACCCTCATCAACTCTCTCTCTCTCTTTCTCTCCACCACCCCCTCCTTTCTCTCTCTCTCTCTCTATATATCCTCTCCTTCACACAGCATGTCAGTGATGTAGTTAAGACCAGCACCTGAAGATTAGCTCCCCTCAGGTAGCGGCGTCAAGGTGTTTAAGCTTCATGTGGGATAAGCTGAATGGCGAAGCTTCAGGGGATCCGCATTTATTTTGACAAAAGCTTTGTTTTTAGGATGATTTTTCTTCATAATACAAATGATTATGAGTCATTATATCCACGCTTTCATTCTTATTTATGTATCGATGTTTTATTTATTACATCAGGCTCGGTGATCATATCCATGTATTTATTTATTTATTTATTTATTTCAAACCTGAAAAGTGTTCATTACAACTGTGAAATATCACACATGTGATGATGGTCGCCATCTGTGGGGCCTCATTATAATCCAGTGCGTTTAAAAAACTCAGCCAGAGCACCAGAGGCCGACACAGGGAGAATGTTCAGTGCCAGAGTGACCTGAGTCACCCGTACTGACCCTTAGAAAACATAGCACGACCCAGGATATCCCCCGCCCCCCCTATAGTTAACTTTTGCCGGGACCAGGTGGTGGTGTAGTGAGGCTCTTCCTCCTGCCTCAACCCTGACCTACCCAGTGTCAACAACTCCCTCCTAACACACCTGAAAATTAATAAACGAATATACTCGTGTATATATATATATATATATATATATATATATATATATATATATATATATATATATATATATATATATATAGACACAGCAGTCGTAGGACGAAAATATTCACATGTGTGTGTGTTTGTATTCACAAATAAGTTTTTAGTCAATTCTAGAAAAGAATGAAGCAATTTTTACCTCAGTGCACTTACCAACATTGCGGAGAAACGACTTGATTGGTCGATACATTACTCCAGCGCAGGACGTCATTGGCGGAAAGGCTCTAACCTATCAGCGGAATGATCTCATCTCCTAAAACGTTTTTGATTGGTTGATCCTTATGATGAGTCAACAAGAGCACCACGGGAGAGCCTGTGCCACTTACGTTAATGCCACAGAAGAACGCCACTGCCGGCACAGGGCTGGCGACTGTTGAGAACGGCTTATGTTCTCTAATTGTGTTACTGAAGTGTGACCCACCTGCTGGAGTCAGGTGCTTTCTTTTCATTATGGGATGGAGGGAACACCGCGCCGCGCCTGGCGAGGCTGAGTGCTTCTGCTGCCCGCTGTCTTTACCAGTGTTGGTGTATAGTACTGTCCTTCACTTACCTGGTCTGTTCTCTTGTGTTATTAGCAACTGGAGAGAGAGAGAGAGAGAGAGAGAGAGAGAGAGAGAGAGAGATTTAGTAATTCATCATACAAGTTAATATTGATTCAGACATGAGAGTGCACATATGGACAGTGCGGTATACTGTATACAAACAACGGTAAACAACAAGTCGATTCCATCAAAGATTTAGATGACCACGCCCAAAAGTCATTACAGGTTTATTTACATGAAGGTCCTTTGTTGGCTTCGTTATGACAAAGAGTGACAGTACACAAGATCACTCTCTCCCGCTGTACATTTGTCTGACACTATTACCAGATTTATCATGGTTAAGTTAGGTTAGATTAGGTCAATTATCCCAGTCTTTATAATGTAGTTTGCTTCACTGTGAGCACCAGGTATTACGAATTATGTTGGCCGCCTCTAATCCTTGTCGGTTCATATCCTTAATCCTTCCAGAGTTTATTGATAGATCCAGGACTCTCACCACCAGAGTGTGTCAACCACTTAGTGTGTCCAGTAGAATGCCGGGTTAGGTTAGGTTAGGTTAGGTTTTGGGTTACTGTATCTGGAACGACAAGATGGGAAATGAATGACAGACGGACACACAGGTAGGCGGACTTACAGGTAGACGGGCACACAGGTAGGCGGACTTACAGGTAGACAGGCACACAGGTAGGCGGACTTACAGGTAGACAGGCACACAGGTAGGCGGACTTACAGGTAGACAGGCAGGTAGACGGACACACAGGTAGGCGGACTTACAGGTAGACTGACAGGCAGGTAGACGGGCACACAGGTAGACTGACAGGCAGGTAGACGGGCACACAGGTAGACTGACAGGCAGGTAGACGGGCACACAGGTAGACTGACAGACAGGTAGATGGACACACGGGTTGACAGACACACAGGTAGTTTAACACACAGGTAGACAGACACACAGACAGACTGCTACACAGACAGACACACACACAGGTAGACGGAGAGTAATCGTCTGTTCCCTCTTGCGACGCTGGAAGGGATTACAGAAATGCAGTTAGAGACATAAGACACAATATACAGTATATCAACAAATTGATCAATCTTTCTACCTCTTCGGCTTTCGTTTATATACATATAGAGGGAGAGAAGGGGTGAGAGAGAGAGGAAGAGAGAGAGAAGGGGTGAGAGAGAAAGTGAGAGAGGGAGTGGGGGGAAAGTGAGAGAGAGAAGGTGAGAGAGAGAGAGGGAGAGGAGTGAGAGAAGGGAAGTGAGAGGTGAGAGAGGTGAGAGGAGGGGTGTGAGGAGGGGGTGGGGGAGATGAGTGAGAGGGAGAGAGAGAGGGGTGAGAGAGAGAGAGGGTGGGAGAGAGAGAGGGAGTGAGGAGGAGAGGGGGGGTGAGGGAGAGGAGGGGGAGAGAGAGAGAGGGGGTGAGGGGATGAGAGGAGAGAGAGGGGGTGAGAGAGAGAGAGAGAGAGGGATGGGGGGAGGGGAGGGGGTGAGGAGGGGAGGAGAGAGGGGTGGGGAAGGGGAGGGGTGGGAGAGAGGGAGTTGGGGAGAGGAGGGTGAGAGAGGGGTGAGGGAGAGAAGGGGTGAGAGAGGGAAGGGGGTGAGAGAGAGAGAGGGTGAGGAGAGAGAGGAGGAAGGAGAGAGAGAGGGGTGGAGAGGAAGGAGGAGGAGGAGTGAAGTGAGAGAGAAGGGTTGAGAGAGAGGGGGTGGAGGAAGTGGGAGTGAGGTGGGGATGAGAGAGAGAGAGGTGAGAGTGGGAGTAGGAGAGAGAGAATGAGAGAGAGGAAGAGAGTGAGAGAGAGAAGAGAAGTGAAGAGAGAGGAAGAGAGAGGGAGTGAGAGAGAGGGAGTGAGAGAGAGGGGTGAGAGGGAGTGAGGTGGAATGAGAGAGGAGAGGAAGAGAAGGGGTGAGAGAGAGGGAGGAGTGGGGTGAGAGAGAGAGGAAGAGAGAGAGAAGGGTGAGAGTGGGAAGGAGAGAGAGAGAGGGGTGAGAGAGGGGAGAGAGGAGTGGGGAGAGAGGAGGAGAGAGAGAGGGGTGAGGAGAGAGGGAGGGGAGAGGGGTGAGAGAGAGAAGGGGTGAGAGGAGAGGTGAGAGAGGGGAGGGGAGAGAGAAGGGGTGAGAGAGAGAGGAAGAGGAGGGGTGGGGAGAGAGAGGAGGAGAGAGGAAGGGGGGAGTGAGGGAGAGAGAGGGGGGGTGAGGGAGGGGTGGGGAGAGGGAAGGGGGAGAGGGGGGGGGTGAGAGAGGTGAGAGAGAAGGGTGAGAGGGTGAGAGTGGGGAGTGAGGAGAGAGGGTGAGGGGAGAGGTGAGTGGGGAGTGGGGAGAGAGAGGGGTGAGAGAGGGTGAGAGAGGGGTGGGAGAGAGAGGGTGAGAGGGTGGGGAGAGAGGGGTGAGAGAGAGGAAGAGGGGGAGAGAGGGGGGTGAGAGAGAGGGTGGGAGTGGAGAGAGAAGTGAGAGAGAGGTGGGAGAGGGGAGGGGAGAGAAGGGGTGAGAGGAGAGGGGAGAGAGAGAGAGGAAGAGGAAGAGAGTGAGGAGAGGGGTGAGGAGAGGGTGAGGTGGGGGAGAGAGGGGGTGAGAGAGGAAGAGGTGGAAGTGAGGAGAGAGAAGGGGTGGGAGAGAGGGTGGGGGAGAGGGAGGGAGTGTGAGAGTGGGGAGAGAAGAGAGTTGAGAGAGAGGGAGGAGAGGGGAGTGGAGAGAGAGAGGGGAGAGTGAGAGGGTGAGTGGAAGTGAGAGAGAAGGGGTGAGAGAGAGGAGAGAGAGAGTGAGAGAGAGAAGGGGTGAGAGAGAGGGGGTGAGAGAGAGGGAGTGAGAGAGGGAGTGAGAGAAGGGGGTGAGAGAGAGGGGAGGAGAGAGGGAGGGAGTGAGAGGAGTGAGAGAGAGAAGTGAGAGAGAGGGGTGAGAGAGAGGGAGTGAGAGAGAGAGGGAGTGAAAGTTGTGCATCTGACAATAATGGTTTAAACTCGAGGAAGGTGTTGGTTGAGTGGCAGGCAGGACGAGGGGCAGTAGTGGTGAGGGATGCGACGGACACTCTTATACATTATCAACAAGAAGGTTTTGACGTTTGGACTTTTCCCGGTATATATGTGGGCGTGAATAAATAAGTCTGAAGGTTATTCTGGTATTAGTATGAGTCTCAGTAATAAATTAAAACAAAGGTGTAAATTATAAAGGATATAGATTATATTATTCGTTCGTTATGTACACTAGCGGCAGACGGGACCCTGTACACAACACACCTTCCTCTACCACGACGCGGCACAACACTGTGAGACGCCTAGAACAACTCGTAATTGTAAATAACTTGCCTCTTAACCTAACACAGATGATGACAGTCACCGAATATATTATTTGGTTGTGTCTTTGTATGGTCGTTAAGATTATATCCATCATCTACACAAGTTAATGAACCATTAATGTTATCAAAATTAATTTAAATGTTTTATGCGTCTGTGCAGTCGTAGAGAAAACCATTTATTTATTTTTTTAATTAGATTTCCTTGTGGCAATTTACAATTATACTCATGAATACGTGCACATGTGTGTGTGTGTGTGTGTGTGTGTGTGTGTGTGTGTGTGTGTGTGTTTACATGTATGTATATATGTATTTTTATTTGTTAATGAATCATCTGTCGCTAGCTTTACTTACACACACACACACACACACACATATATATATATATATATATATATATATATATATATATAT